TTTTAAACTTTAAACAAAAATTATAAAACTTCGACAAATTATCAAAAAAATTTCAACCTTTTTATTCAAAATATTTGGTATGCAGTTTTGTACATGTGGTATGCTACAAAATACCGCTGATTTGTAAGATTTTTTTTTTTGCTGATGGTGCCACGATTTTTTTTCCCATACAAAGAGTTCTCGACAATTTTTTTATATGAAAGAGAATGCCAGGCATCGTCAACAAAAAAAATTGTCAAAAATCAACGGTATTTTCTAGCTACTTGAAACTTGCACTTTATTATACTACAAGCAATTTTTAGCAAAAAAAAAACCGACTTCAACTCTCATATAAAAAAAATATATATATATATCTCATGATCCGCTGATCGGATCTTAACCAGACCACCTCTGAGACACTACCTTTCCGATGCAAAAAGAATTATCGAAATCGGTTGACGTGGTCCAAAGTTATGCGGTAACATACATAAAAAAAAAAAACAAAAAAAAAAAATATTCCGACGAACTGATAACCTCCTCCTTTTTTGGAAGTCGGTTAAAAATTGAATGGGCTACAAAACTGCATACCAAAAATTTTGAATAACAATTATAATAATCTGAATAAAAAGTTTAAACATTTGGTGACAATTTGGTGACAATTTGGCGAATTTTTATAATTTTTGTATAAAGTTTGTAAATGGGATTTATATGGCTTTAATAAACATTAAACATAAAATAAACCATGGAAATATAGCCAAAACTTTTCAAAGTAAGGCGAGTCTATTATTTTTGCCGCCAGTGTATGTATGTAAGTATGTATGTTAAATTGTGAATGATATGAATCCAAAATGCAACAACGTAAAAATATAGCTTATTTTAAGCAAATTTGTTTACATTGCTTATTTGTATGTACATATCAGTAATCTACTAATGTGTTTGACCGCAGTAAATAAGACCTAGCAATAAGATTTGGATAAGGGTTATTTCATCGTGACTTGCTTTAACAAAAATACCAAACGGTTTCTTAGTTTTATGTTACTATCATTTGAATGAATGTGACTGGTGGGCCACTAGAAAAAACTCTATTTTTATGTTGTAAAACATGTACTATACGCTTTCTTTTTCAGTAAAAATTAAGCTTAGATAATCTTCATAGAAATATTAAAAATTATATAAATTTGTGACTGGAGGGGCATGTCCTTATGACTAATGTAAAGTAATTATGCATTAAATAAAAGTTTCCATAGAAAAAACTTCTTTTTATTCTTTTAATATTTTTCAACATATTAATGAAATGTAGTCATTAAAAAAATGGTATCAATGAAATAAATATAATTAGGGCATTTTAAAATTTATGTCGTTCNATCAGTAATCTACTAATGTGTTTGACCGCAGTAAATAAGACCTAGCAATACGATTTGGATAAGGGCCATTTCATCGTGACTTGCTTTAACAAAAATACCAAACGGTTTCTTAGTTTTATGTAATTATCATTTGAATGAATGTGACTGATGGGCCACTAGAAAAAACTCTATTTTTATGTTGTAAAACATGTACTATACGCTTTCTTTTTCAGTAAAAATTAGGCTTAGATAATCTTCATAGAAATATTAAAAATTATATAAATTTGTGACTGGAGGGGCATGTCCTTATGACTAATGTAAAGTAATTATGCATGAAATAAAAGTTTCCATAGACAAAACTTCTTTTTATTCTTTTCAATATTTTTCAACATATTAATGAAATGTAGTTATTAAAAAAAATGGTATTAATGAAATAAATATAATTAGAGCATTTTAAAATTTATGTCGTTTTCGTCTTTTACATGGAATGAGCCATAAAGCAATTTTAAATATTAAATAAAATATCAAAGCTGCACCGAAACGATACGGACTAGGACTGCCTTAGTACAGCGTGGCGACGAATAACTGTAGCACAGTTTTCTTTTTTAAATAGAATGGTTCTTTATAGCTTTTCCGAAGAAAGCATTTTATGGTTAATTTTCCACAGATTTTACTTAAATTTTATTAATTAGTTTTAGAATTTCAATCCTTTTTGCTTTTGCCAGCTTTCTAAACTTTGGGAGATGAGTACAAACTACTTTTTTCGCAAAATTTATATAGGACTCTTTTATTTAAAAAAAAAAAAAAAAAACTGGGTAAAAGTTATTCGTCGCCACCCTGTAATAGCGATCTTATAACGATTCTACTATGTCACAAGATCCAGTCAAGTCGGCTCGGTAAACAAAAACATCATATCAGCTTACTCTCAAACATTCACCCGTAATATTTCTGCTACAACAACTGCCATAATATTGCAAAGTAATGCAAATATGATTGTTTTGATTTTTTTTTAATGAACGTTGTCGGCAACTATTTGATTAAACACAATTAAAGATCTATTAATTTTTCTATATGTAATTAGCTTTGATAGCACGTGCGCGTATCAATGTGTATTTGGATATACATACATATCTTACGGTATCTTAGAGTGAGAAGTTGCTAAGTCCACTTCTTTTGAAAACTCATATGCGAGTGAAATTAAAAATGCATCGTCTCCAAAAGAATAAAGGTGCTTCTTTTATTTCATCACGCTTATATTCAATGAAAAGCAAATTTGCTAAGTCCAAAAGTGACACAGAAAGACCAAATCAATTCGAAATATTTTAATCAACACCGAATCCGTCTCGTTCGTATGGAGTTTAGCAATGCTTTAAAAACTCAAAATGTTGTACTCAAAGTTTTGCAAAATACTTAAAAATGGCTATAAGAAGTTTCTTTCCTCTCATGTAAAATTTGTACAAATAAACTTAGCAACCTTTCACTGTAAGCTAGCGATATGTATGTACATATTTACATCTAGTCAAGTGGATTACGAGCATACAAGATTAACCTTGACTGGAGATTAGAATTCAAAGTAATTATAGCACAAGCTTTCGCATATTCAGGCAGGTCAAGCAGAACATCGAATATGAGTTTGTACATACATACATATGTAGTATGTATTTATATTTAATTTACATTAGAAGAGTATAATAAAAATTAATATCTTTACACATATCGCTGGCTTAGAGTGAAAAGTTGCTAAGTCCGCTTCTTATGAAAACTCATATAATTTTTTCTCGGGTGTATTCAATGAAAAGCAAGTTTGCTAAGTCCAAAAGAAAATCTGATAAGGCCGAAATAATACGAAATATTTTAGTAAAGGGTGAATCCTTATTGTCCTTTGGAGTTTTGCTTTGCTGTAAACACGCAAAATTTTGTATTCAAATTTTGGGAATTACTTGAAGAAAATGGCTAAAAGAAGTTTTTTCCACTGCCGTAGCAACTTTTCGCTCGCAGACATTTTTTATTTAGGGATTGAAGGTTTGCGCGTCATTTAGGAAGAGGTGATTCCAGGTGATTCGAGTATTTGTACATTCCAGCGTACTTTTAGAAGTAGGAAAAAATAAAACGAATATACCATACATGCATACATACTATACCTACATACATATGTAAGTGCCAATTAAAAAAACTAATTACATTTTCAAGCATCTAATAAAAAAAATTAATACAGCATTCTCTAAAAACTAGTAATTTTTGTCACTAAAATTATGCGATAAAAAAATGTAAACGCAGTAATAAAACACGTCATTGCTTTCAAACAACTAGTATGTACATACATATGTATGAGGAAATGTTTTGTTTAGAGCAGCACCTAAACCTATGCGCGTACATATGTACACACAATCATTTGTATGTAGCTAATCATGCGTGTTACACTTAGTAAATAAAAAATTATATACAAAGTACCCAAAACAGTACTACCCAGTAGGCTAAAGGAGGAGTGCTCTTAAATAAACGCCTTCAGAAAGGGATTATTCAATACTATTTCTTTTGGAAATTTAATTAGGTCTATTGGAAGCGCTGCCATTCGAAGGCAAAGTCAAATAATTATCTTTTAATAACCCCGTTCCTTTGGAAGACACACGTGAAGGCGCGTTTCCACGGCAATCAAAGTAAAAATAAAAATAAAAAATAAATAAAAATCGGAGTAGACGTATCGCTATGTGTGTACTGCAAAGTCAAATACAAACTGTTTCATCATGCATATTTTCCTTTCTGTGAAAAGCAGAAGGACTGGAAATTCTGGCCATTCCATATAAAATGAAAAGGAGTAAAGAATGTGGCAGAAGGCCCCTTTTTCCAAATTTGTCGACTGGGTAGGCATGAATGCACATACATACATATATGTGTATAGCATGGGTATATAGATACGAAAGAACTTTGATATCGTTTTTTTTTCGAAGGAATGTTCTTTTTTATAATTTAAAAACGTTGCTTTTCGCCCTAAGACGAAATAGACACTTTCAAATATCGGCATTTATTTGGAAAGAGGTGAAAAGTGGCTTGTAATTTACCAATTCAGCTTAAATCTAAATACACGATGGTTATTTTTTTTACAAATATTTACCAAAGCCCGCTGGTTAAGAATTTCCTGTTTTATTTGCTGTAGCTTTCAGTTCGGATTTTTCCTCTAGAGCATTGAGAACATACATCACCATAATGAAATACATTGCCCCAAGTTTAAATTAACTTACTGAAAGTTTAAAACCATTTGCACAGAGGTTAATTTCATTTGCCAAAAGTTTTACTTAATGTGACAATACAATCATAGTCCAGATAGGGTTTGAAGCCTCGTCCTTTATACCATAACCAGATACGTATATTTTGCACAGAGACGATAAGTTTCAATGATCTATTATTAACATTTGTTGGTTAAGCTAATTTCATGCATTTACTTCTCTCAGCCAAATGATTTTTAATGGAGGTACTAAAATACTTATCAATACAATTGTACAAGTAAAATTATACATACATACATATGTATTTTAACTTGTTCGAGTATTTGTGCACTTATAGCAAAACAAACTTAACTAGAAATGCTTAACTAGGCGTTTTAAGAGGCACAGCAAATAGCGAATTTGCCTTAGTAAAATACGAGTTTTATGCCGATTGCAGCTAAAAAAAACATCTTACCTGTGCAGTTTGTAAATGAAAAGCATCACAAACGAAATGTAAATGAGTGCCACGAAGACTAGTGGAAGTAGGAATGTTACAATCAGCGGCCAAAGTAATCGGTAAAGCCATAGTGAGTAATCCAAGTCGATATAGGTAGCTAGATACATATAAATCCGTAAAAAGCTACGTTTTTTGAGATTAAAAAGAATGTACAAACTTACAGAGGAACTCCTGTAGACTCTTAGTCCATTCCTGTAGGTAGTCCATTGCGCATTAGCCGTTTGCCTTTTCTAAATGTACCTCAAGAGCCTCCACACAATAAAGAAGCAGCGGTTGATGGCCTCAATTTACGTTTACGTCAACAAAACAAAAGCTAACCTCTGTATTTGGGCAGCAGCAAGAAGCGCTCCGACATACAACTTCCAAATGATCCGTGATGCGTTTCTACACAGTCCCACACCTCGCCAGGTTATCAGCTTACAGCTATGTTTAGTATAAACGTTGTAATTCTTACTTTTGCCTTTTTAAATTATGCACCTATTTCTGCTAATTTCACTTTGGATTCCCAATTAGTTTCTTATTTCTTCTCCCAAACGTGTAATTTGCCTCAAATTATTTTATCGTATCATCATGTGTAAACTACACAGGAATCTATAATTCTTAAAAATTTATAAATTACGCCAATCTCCTCATAACTATTTCGCCAATTTCTTTTTTACAAACTCTATCATCAATTACAAATGAGCTCCGTCTTTTTCATTATCACACCTTTTTTGCAAAAGTGATTGTTTACCTTCTTTTTATACAATCGTAACAAAAAAATCGAACACCAACGACGAAAAGCGAAACAGCAACTGAATGCAAAATATGCGCCAGCTGTTTTACAGTCAGTGCTGTGTTTTGGCGTGTCTATCAGTGTTGATATTTTGAGTGCAATTGTACTATTTTTTCGGTACAATCAAAGAACGTAAATCTATGAGACAACCCGCTACTTTGAAAATCCGCCGCGCCGTTTTGACTTTGTCCACGGCAGATTTTTGGGTTTCGCCTAGAATGCGGAAAACACTAGCAACAGAGAAGAAAAGCGGCTAAAGTGAATATCGGTGATTATTTTACACAAGTTGTTGGGGAAAATGTATTTTAATTAAAAAATTAAATATGAAGGTGTAAAATATATAGTAGTCAGTGAAAGCGTAAAATACTGAGGAGCTTGTGAGTGAAAGTGTCTATATCAATAATAAAATGTGTTTGTGAGTGCAAAAGGTTTTCCAACAAGTGCCGATTGTTGGTGTATATGGAGAAAAGTGATCATTATCTTAAACAAAATGAGTGTACGTTTATATAAAAATGCATTAGTTTTTTTTTGGCATTTTTTGGATAAAGTGTGTATTTTGGCGGCATTATTAACAAATCTAATGCTTGTTATATACAAATTTAATTAGTTCAAATGAAATCTATGCATTTTCATACGTTTTGTTATCATCGGGCATTTCGTAAATTCATGCAAAAAAACAAACGCGAAAATGAGTAATATCAGTTGTTTCCGTCTTTCTCACATCCTCCGCCTAAACAAACTTATAAATATGAAATATAAGTTGTCTCTGTCTTTCCCTCGTCCTCCGCATATAAACGTACATACATATCGTCGTTTAAAGTACAAAACCACGTATCAACAAAATGCAAAACCGTGTATGTGAGATTGCATAAGTTATTTTCTATAGAGTAAAAACACTCATATTTCAAAATTGTTTCCCTTTTTTTATAAAGCAATCGAATTTCTGCCTAGTATATTACAGGACGAATGGATAAGGATTGAGCCAAGAGCTTATGTGAGCAAATCCAATTTTTGGGCAGCCAATGTCAGTTACGCGATTTTGCAGAATGACGATACACGGTTTTGTTCTTTAAACGACGATATAAACGACGATATGTACGCTTACAGTAGGCTGCTCCTAGCATGAATATTTTGTAGCTCAACATTCTGGCAACACTTATCATAGAACTTTCTGTTCGGCTTCACAGCAACAGCTTTCTTGGCATTCTGTTTTTAGCTGACATTCTCTGCTGTTTAGATTCTTTTACTTTGACAAAGTGCATCAGCGACACGTGTTTTTGTTTTCGCAGTGTTCTAGAGGAATTTTAAATAAATTTTTGGGCAAAATAACTACCGCAGAATGGGAAAATTTCGTTCCAAACTGAAGCGCCACACTAAAGGCAAAACATGGAGCAAAGGGCAGTCATCTACTTCTAATCCTGAGCAAATGAGGCATCGATTAAAAGCCAAGTCGCGTTTCTTTCAGCCAAACTTAAGTTTAGGTAAAGTAAATTTGATCCTAGTTATTAACGTTATTTTTATTTTTATTTTACTTCGCAGCACCACCTGAACATGCTCCCAATCCCAACATGCTTACTTTCGATGCGGTATTGAAACATGATCAACGCCTGGCTTATAATGCTGAGACAACGACAGTCAACGATGTTGCTGGCAGTTTAAAATCTTTCAGTCTCCACGACGATGGCGGCTTGGAAGATGAGAGCATGTCGGAATCGCAACAGGGCACTTTTAAAACTTTCAAAACATTTGCTTCCAACTACAGTGCTTGTAGCAATATGAGTTTTAAAAGGCTGCTGGTGGGATTTCGTGCATCGTCCGACTTGCATAAGGAAATGCTTGCAATCTTAACCGCACTTACCGAAATCATACGCGAGCGTGGGGGTACAGAGTCATCGACGGACTATTTCATATTGCTTATGGAACAGATTGAAGCTAGCACTGAAGACAATGATATAATTGCGGGCATTTCGCTGTTATCAATGGGTATCAAATCGGTGCCAGCAGCGGTGTTGCGCAAACGATTTGGAGAGACGGCTCAGACCTTTTTATCATGCTTACAACGCTTTATGGAGTCAGCGAATCAGACCATTGTAAAATATGTAAGTAAGTACATAACTTCTTTTGGATAAATCTGCTAATTTACTTTTTCAGATAATTGGTTGCTTGTCCGTACTGCTTTGTGCCCAAGAACATATCACATGGACTTACTCCTCCACTTGGCAATACATTGATGCCATACTTTCATTCACCATACATTCAAAGCCTAAAGTATTCACTTTTTTAATACTTTCAGCACAATTTTAAGCTCATTAAATGTTTTTTTTTTATAGATTCGGAAAGCTGCGCAACACGCTATTGTATCAATCATTCATGGCAGCTCCTTCATGCGACCTACCCATGAAGAAGAGGCCGAGGATGCTGATTATGTAGAACAGCGGAGAGCTAAGCACCATCCGGCCAGCAGTCGCGTAACAAAATTCTGTTTAAACCAATTTAAGCCTGAGGTTCTAACCAATTCGCAGACAACAGTGCTACATACGCTCACACTTCTCAAAGACATTGTGAATGGCTTTAAAATAGAAGACATCCGTTCAGTTTGCGAAAGTTTACTTTCCATCATGACTGCTGCTAATGTGCTCATTCGCACCAACTGCTTCCAAGCTCTGCATTCACTTTTCGCGTCACGAACAACCAATTTGAATGGTTCTTTGTGTGCAAAATTGCTGGCTGCTATACATGAATATCGCCCGGATCGTGCTGATGTGCGTCAAACGGTAGCTTGGATTACGGTGCTAAAAGAAGGACATATTCATCTGGCATTATTGGATTTGAACTTATGTATGAATGCGTTGCCAAGATTTTTCGATATTTGTGCCACTGACTTGTGGATGTCCGAGCGCACAGAAATAATTAATAGTGTTTCGAATTGTATTAAGGAGATTTTAAACGAATGTATTAAGTCGGCTTGTGACACAACTGAAAAAGCTGAAGTGTACCGCATTCCAATAATGCGAATAATCGCCACATTAGAAAAGGTACTTAACGCACCCTTCGGCGAAATAGCCAAACATGTCATACTTATATTTTCAATTGTCTTTGAAGTATGTGGCAAGTATTTTAGGTAAGTAGTCTTCACTGATGCAAAATAATTCGTTAATATGTACATATGTACTAAAGTTTTGATTAATCTTGCCTACTTTTTTGTAGCAAAGAACTGACACCATCACTTCAGACGCTTTCAAAGCGCTACGACACACAAAGCACACTGCGTGTGCAAATTGAGCACTCTATAATTGCGGCAATACAGTCAATGGGTCCGGAGATTATTTTGAAAACTATACCATTAACAAATAGCAAGGGCGAAGTTTTGCTCGAACGTTCATGGCTGTTACCGCTGCTCCGTGAGGGTACCAAAGGTGCTTCATTCAAATTCTTCAAGGAGTATATTTTGCCTTTGGCTTTGGATTGCAATAATAAATGGCATAAATATGCCCAAGAGAAACAACAATCAATGTCACATACTTATGAGCTGTTGTGCTGTCAACTTTGGGGCTTGTTCCCAGGATTTTGTCGTGACCCAGCAGATGCTGAAAATCTGCGCTTAATTGCGCCCACTCTTGGCAACGCTTTGGATAATAATCCAGAATTTCGTGCACCTATTTTCGATGGTCTCACTGAGTTGATTGGAAATGAGGAGAACGTCGAAATTAAAGAAGCTTTGGCGAAGTATTCTAAAAACTTCTTGCCGCGTTTATTCAATATTTACGCACAAAAACCAAATGGCACATACGAAGCGGATCTGCGCAAGAAGGCATTAGAAGTAATAAAGGTACGTGCCTACATTCACAGCAATGACCAATAGCTTTATCAAATTGTTGGTTTATATGTTTTAGTTGTACCTAACAAGAACATCAGAAGATGTACTGAAGGAACTCTTCGAAACTGCAAAAACACAACTGTCGAATACAGCGGTTGGAACATTCGAGTATGATGCAATTTTTGATATCAATGCTGCGCTCCTGCTATTTCAAACCAGCGAAGTTATACGCGTTTTCTTCGAGACCTTCATTGTGCCCGTTTTGAAGAATGAAAAATCTAAGTTGGTATCTAAGGATGATCAAAAACTGAAAAAGCAACAACGTCGTACATATGAGTATGTGTAGCAAGTGAATCGAAAATTTTGCATATCCTCCTTATATCTTAATTTTTAGACTTCTTCGTGATATATTAACTTCCGAGGCAGCTTCTTGTCAGAAATTCGGCCGTAAGAATAGTATCGCCTTGCAAAAGCTACTTTTGGATGCATTTGTTACGAGTTGCGCCGTTTGTCAGGCTGCGCGCTTAAGGTAAAATTCAGAGTTCACCACTTTAAAATTTTTACTCATACCGTCTCACGTTTACCATTTTAGATGTTTAAAAATTCTTATTGAAAATCGCAAATCTCTTACTGTGAATGACAAAATTGTTATGAAAACTATACCAGAAGCTGTGATCTCTTACAAGGAATTCTCGACGCGCAAGGAAAATGTTTCAGAGGAGCTCATCATATTTTTGGCTAATCTATACCAGGTACCCATCCCTAATACGTATTTTTTTTGGAAATTAAATACTTGTTATCTATAAATAGGAAGCTGGTAAACTGAACGACTTTGTTGATATACTAACAGCAGGCTTTGCAGGCGACGACTCGCTTATTACAAATACGATTTTGGCCTTCCGCGCCGTTGTACAAAATCAGGGGAAAAATTTAACTATTACCACGCTCGAATTCATAATGGAACAAATTCTCGTTTTTCTTGTGCAAAAAGCGCGTTCCGAAGCCGAAGCTGCTGTAGCGTTTCTAATTACATTTATAAAAGTGATGCCTTCGCCGTTTGTGGCTAATCATTTGGATACCATAGTAAGTATTTCATTAACTTATTTGTTTTAGTTATATAGAATTCATATTAAAAAATTTAAATTCTTTAGATGAAATCTCTATCTGCAATGTCCAAAGATACCAAACGTTATTGCCGTATACAAATTGGGTATTTGTTAAAGAAGCTTTGCAAGCGGTTCACAGCTGAAGAGCTAATTAAATTTGTGCCTGGTGATGATGAAGTAACACATCGGCGCCTGAAGAAAATACGAAAGCAAATGCGTCGTGAAAATAGAAAGCAACTGAATGAAAAAGATAAGACCGATGACGACGATTCGGAGAATGAATTCGTCGCTGGGCTGGAAAAGAAGAGCACAACGTAGGTTAAAATATCCGTTTAAAATACCGTATTTATTGTAAATGCATGCTTGCAGCATTGATGACATATTGGCAGATTCCGATTCAGATTTGCCAGAAGATATGGATGCGGATAATGGCGATCATAATAAAGCTGAGAAAAGGAAACCGAAACGCAACAGCACTTATATACGTGAAGATCCAGAGGATATTGTCGATTTGGCTGACATTAAGTCGATAGGAAATGTGCTAAGTTCGTACGAGTAAAAGTTATTAAAAATATATTTGTATATATATATATTTTTTTTCCATAGCAAACCGACCAGATGAAGCCGCAAGTGCTGCTGGAAGCACCAAATCCAAGAATAGGGATCCGAATCGTGGTTTTAAAACCGCCGAGGATGGAAGACTGATTATAAGTGATAAAGCATTGCGCGGTGCTGGTGGTGATGACAACAGCAGCAGCAGCGGCGAAAGTGGCGATGATGATGACGATGCAATTGAAGCTAAACGAGCGCCTAAACGCGGCATGGAAGTGGACTCTAGTGATGGTATGTCTACCATGATTATATTAAGTAGTCATAAAAAGTGATTTACTCTTATTATCGTACTCTGTAATACGGAAACAAAAGAGGAGGAACTGNGGAAGTGGACTCTAGTGATGGTATGTCTACCATGATTATATTAAGTAGTCGTAAAAAGTGATTTACTCTTATTATCGTACTCTGTAATACGGAAACAAAAGAGGAGGAACTGTCAGCTACAAGCCGCAAACGTAAAGCTACCGATGCGATTAGTATGCGTTCGGGTAAGACTTCAGCTTCGAAATATGTAGCCGGTGGCAAAGGTATTCATCGGCCCTTAGGCGCCGCCGGTAGCGACGCGATATCAATGAAATCCGGCTACTCTGCAAAGTCGGCCAAATCTGGCAAATCTACAGCGGCTTCAGCCTACGCCGGCAGCGAGTATACAACTAAGAAAGCTAAAGGCGATATGAAGAAGAAGGGCAAGCTCGATCCCTTCGCGTACATACCACTAAGTCGAAATACGCTAAACAAAAGGTAAGTTATTCAACGGTAATTATACTAAACGTTCCTGATTTAACAAAAATATATACATTTTTGACAGAAAACGAGCAAAACATTCGGGCACATTTAAGAATATCGTAAACGGAGCACGGAAAGGTGCGCTGAGAGGCGTTAAACAAAGAGTCGCTAAGCCTAAAAAACAATAAGCTAATAAAACGAATGCAATAAACTAAGGCTATGTATGTATGTGTACATAAAGATTATATATGAAGTAAGCTACAGTTACTACTGTTTCTAGTGAGAGTTATAAATCAAAAGATTGCATAAAATAAAGCTAAAAATTACTATTTAAACTTTAAAAGCAGATAAATATTTCCATAGTCTCTACGTTAAATGATTTTATTTTTTAGTTAGCTTATACAATTTATGTAAGTTAAAAATACTTTAGTCAGTTCACCTGAGTTTAAAAGCTTATATTCTGAGGCTTTTGGGTATTAGCACCCAATCAACAAAATTTTTCATACGCTTTGGGTTCATTCAAATTTTTGAGCACTCAAATAGTTGTGTTGTTGAGTTTTCGTTTTGAAAGTATTGTTTTTCAATATGTGTTTGCCGCCACTCGCCCTTGGGATCGGGTCCAGCCATTGTGTCTTCGTAAAAATGCATTTTATTTTGTCCATCAATAAGTATAACTGTGTGTGTACGACTGCCGTACCCAGCAGATGGCACGCTTACGTTCAATGCACTCAAGTATTCACCCCAATTGGGTGCGCGTCGTGCCAGCTCTGCATCTGGCCAAAACTTGTGTTCACATTTTAGTAAATTCTTTAAATTTGTGACAAGATCTGCCTGCATGTTATGCATAGCCTCAGTTGGTGCTGCTGCCAGCTTACTGTGAAAATCCTCTACAATGTTCTGAAAGCGTTGACGACCATTGATAACCTTTTGAAACGGTGCCGAAGCTAGACTGTTGCCGAACCCATAGCATTTACCCTCAGCGAAATGTTCCAAACCAGGTGGTGTATTGCTCAGCAATAGGATATTCGCTGGTGCTTTTGAGCTGATAAAGGGGAAAAATATGAACGTTATTTTGAAAATTTTCTTAACAGAAACTTGCTTTACTAACCCGATTTCGATTGAAACAAAATTAAAAGCGCTGTACTTTGTACACTCGCTCAACAGTTCGCTATTGTAACCTTGTATGTTGCAATCATCCTTAGAGGCAGCAAAATTCGAAACAATCATACCTCGGCCTAGCAAAAAATTTTCATTGTGTAGTAAAGAAGATGTGTCTGCAGGCTTGATGATTCTTGTTGTGTCAGCCTTATAGTCGTTATGATTGGGGTATATTATATTATGGTTTTTAGCTACACATTCGCCATTAACTATTAATTTTAATATAGTTGGTATTCAGTATTCAAAAAGGTAAACGAAGAAAGGAATCATGCATGTTCAATTGGAAGATAAGTTCAACAGAAATGTATGTATGCAAAATATGTAAGCAAATAAATATGTTTGTAACCAATAAGATGTCAATGATCCGTAGTGAGCAAAGTACAAAGGTCAACAACACGTTACTGTCATATACATACATAAAACAATTATCACTTCTCACCCACAGCATTCCTCGGTTTAGGCTCTCCTGTCAAATTAAGTAGCGCTCCAACTTTGAATACGCCACCATGGCCACCAATTGCCAGCCAAGTGCCACCTTCACGCCCAGGCTCTAAGTCAATACCTGAAAACAGCATATTTAAGTAAAGCATTTCGTTCAAAATTTCTTTTCATGGATGCGTAGCTACAAACAAAATGTATTTAATACACGTTGGCTACAAACCTCCATAAACATGCTCTGCATTAGCCCACTTTGCTGCATCCTGTGTATCGCGCGCATAGAATTCATCTCGATTAGAGGCTAATATAAGTTTGTATCCACCAGGGTTTGGATTTGAGTTCACATAGATAAATATCACACACATATTTTTTATAATTCTAGTATTCTAATGTTGGTAATCTAGCCGATGCAGCACTTTCCGTCGTACGTGTCAATGCAGCTACTGAATCACAGACAGCTCCTAATGAAAACAAATGTTAAATCTTTGCATTTGCATAAACAACAAGTGCTACCACTATAGATTGTCAATTACCCACTTAAAAGCTATACTTATCACCTTATTTCTTATCTAATCGCACAGGCAAAGCCACAGTGGGAATCATTAGTTGCTAAAACAAAAATAATCCAATCGGAAAGTAAACAATTGAAGCTGGAAAACTTTTTTTTTTTGTGTCGTTTGTCGGCAGTGTTGTGTTACAGCAAAAAAAAAAACGGTTAGTTGTCGTCTTTAGTGCTAGTAACACTGCGTTTACATAAGACAACTTGAGACAAGACAATTGAGAATGTGTAGTAGTTGTCAAGTTGTTGTGTAAAGTAGGCGTCCAGACCATTATAAAAACTATACATTTTTCAGCAGCCGCCTTTACAGGCTAACTGCCATCCCTAAATTGGCGCGTCAAGCGCCAAACAACTGTCAAAAATCCTCATGCCCATACAATTTGTATGAAGCATCCCACAATAACGCGGCGCTAACGCCGAGCAAATGGAATTTTCATTTTTGACAGGGCGTTACGTGTTGAAGTTGGATGCGGAAGACGGAAAGAAAGAGAAAGGACAAAAAAGTGAAAGAGGAAACGAGAATAAAAACGAGAGGATCTGAGAAAACGTCAAAAATTACGACGCGTTGATTTGGGGATAGCGCGCGCTGACACTCGTCGACAATGGATAACGCAACGCTTAGCGCTCCAATTTAGGGACGGCAGTAAGCTAATATTCACGCACGCCGCCAATTTACTGTCAAAAATTTCTCATGCACATACAACTTGTATGGGACCAACCGAAATTGAACGGCGTGCGTATGAAGCTAACTCAATTTCCAATTTTTGTTCTGCGTGACATTTTGATTTGACGTTTCGCTCAATGAAATCAAATGCAAACGCACGCAAGCCAATTTCGGGTGACGCAAAAAAACAAATTCGACTGCGTGCGTACCAAAACGCAAGCCGCGAATATTAGGTTAGCCTGTTAATGTCGTTATTATTTACTAAAATATCCAATCACAAACCACTTTTTCGTAATTCTGCGATTTTTTGCGGTTTTGTCTTGCCTATTTCTCTCAAATTAACCAAGACGTGACCGAATTGTCCAATTTACTGTCCAAATCACTGTATTCGAAAAATGAAAGAAAGTGACGAAGACAATTGTCTTGTGTTTGTGGCTTTTGGCTTGGTAAAATTGTCTCATGTAAACGTCGGGTAAGCGCCATATTTCCGTCTCAAATCTCAATAATAGGTTCTTTTCCTAACAATCCGGGCAACCCTGCGAGTGAAAAATGTCAGACGAAAGCAGAAATGAAGAAACCAGTTGAGTGCATAGGAATAGAAGTGGAGAAATATCGATATTTGCTACCATCGATGTTTTCGATGTATTANCCTGCGAGTGAAAAATGTCAGACGAAAGCAGAAATGAAGAAACCAGTTGACTGCATAGGAATAGAAGTGGAGAAATATCGATATTTGCTACCATCGATGTTTTCGATGTATTAAAGGAAAACATCGATGTAACATCGATTGTTGTGAAAGAATAGGTCGTTTAAAGGCAAAACTAAGTTGGTACTTGAAGTTAAATGTAGCGATTTTGACAGATAACCCATTAAAAACTATGTCGAAAAGCCGCAAGTAGCTTTAAGTATGAATTTAATTTTGACTATGAATACGCCCTAATAAGTTATTACAAATAAAATAAAACAAAAGTACCTGTTTCCTTCCATGAAAGTAATATGTATGCATTCCAAATATTAACCATATCGGACCACAAACGCGGGTTTTTCGNAAAGTGACGAAGACAATTGTCTTGTGTTTGTGGCTTTTGGCTTGGTAAAATTGTCTCATGTAAACGTCGGGTAAGCGCCATATTTCCGTCTCAAATCTCAATAATAGGTTCTTTTCCTAACAATCCGGGCAACCCTGCGAGTGAAAAATGTCAGACGAAAGCAGAAATGAAGAAACCAGTTGAGTGCATAGGAATAGAAGTGGAGAAATATCGATATTTGCTACCATCGATGTTTTCGATGTATTAAATATCTCTAGACCTGTGCCACCTAGTGGATTAATTCGTCCTTCATATTACATTGCCATCGGGGTTTGACCTAAGTTTAAAGTCCCAAGTCTCTAGCTCATCGGGAAGTTGGTTAGAATTGACAATAAAATTCAAAGAGATATATGTATGTAAGGGAAGTTAAATAAAAGCTTGTAAAAACGTAATATTTTTATTCACTGGGATTAACATAAAAGTATTAGAGAGAGAACGGCGGCCGCTGAGGTGTAGTGGCTCTGCAGTGCCTAGGTTCAAGCCCTGGTCATAGCAACATCTCAAAAAAAATATAGAAAAGGTTTTTTCTTAACAGTTTTCGCCCCTCGGCAGGCAATGACAAACCTTCGAGTGCATTTCTGTCAAGAAGTTTTTCTTCTTCTCATCAAAATACAATCGCCGCTCGGAGTCGGTGTAAAACTCTAGCTCCACAAATCGGTGAGAAGCTCGGCCAAACACTAACATATGTGTAAGCGCTAATCTAATATTATTATTATTATATTTTTAAAGAGATAAGCGATTGTTTTTTGAAAGTTTTAAAAAATATTTGACTTTTGTTTTGAAAGGTTATAAGCTACAAACTAATCAGCCTTATCATGAGTTTCATTTTCGCCGCACCGGTTCACTTTTCATTCTTGGTTTCCATAGTTTTACTATGATCAGCTGATTTTGTGTACGTATTTCGCCTTACGGCTTCTATGTCAAATTGAAAAATTTTGTTTGAATTTCCACACACACACTTACAGATTTTGACAGTTTATGCCGCCAAAGCAAAAACAAAATACATGTAAATTTTTGTTTTTGCTCTCCTGCTACCACCTTATTATTATTCGCCTTGCTCAGGATAAGGCAGAATATTTCATTTTATATGCGCGGAGGTGTAAATAAGAAACATCGATAGTCGCCATCAACCATCGATGTTTAGCAAAAATGCAAAAACATCGATACATCGATAGTGCCACGATGTTTTCTCCACCTCTAAATTTGATGTAAAGCGAAAATCGGTTTTCGGCATAGAAATTGGACATTTTCAATCAGAAAACTTTATTAAAAAATGCAAATTAAATCTTTTAATAAAATATTTAGTGAAAAAACCAATATAAACTGTCAGAAGTTAAGGTAAAACATGGACATTGTAATAGCGTTCCATTTAAACTAGTTCCACAAACATGTGTGCGTGTTAAGGAACAATACAAATTCACTAATAAACAGCAAAAAAGGAAATGAAAACGGTAATGAGCAAAACGTGTAATACAGAAAAATTGCTAAAAATAGTGACGAATGCAGGAACAAAAAATAATTGTGTAAACTAAAAAGTTCTACTAGTTCTTGGTGATTTGTAAGGAAAAATACAAGTTTTATGCTATCAATTTGATTGAATTTAAGAATTATACTAAGTACTGTGTTTCACAATACTAGGTACTCGTAGTATCGCTGGGGGGAGATTCTGTAACCAGTTACCGACAATTTGACCACTGAAATTTATGGACGAAAAAAGTAGCAACGCAGTTAAGTTTACCGGATTAAACTTTAAGATACATTTAAAAAAGTTTTATTATAATATTGTTTCGACTGTAAAGGGATAAAAATGCTTTTAAAGTGCGCAAAAACTACTGGGAGCAGTGCCGCCAGCAGCTCCAGTCCTTCCACTACGGCTAATGCTCGTGTAACAGGTTTGTCACTAAATATTAAGTTTATTGTTTTACAGATTTGAATGAAATATTCTCTAATATAAGATTACGGAAAAATTAATTACACTTTTTAAACTATCTTCGTAGCAGAAAATTGGAGGTAGTAGTGCAGGTTCCGTTCACTTCCCGAAAATCCATCAAATCAGTGTTTGAATCCCCAGCTTATATTTTATGGTACACCACTCTTTTGTTACTTATATATAAAATACCTGTTAATGTGTCTAAACTCTTCTAGAGCATTTTGAATTCAGGAGACACAATAAATCCGGTCTAACCGGCTTTATCGCAGCTTAGCGTAACAGTTGATCAATGAAGCTTACATGTAAATGATCAACACTTCTTATATGATCCACAAGGGGTGGGTTTTAGGGTTCGTTTTTCTTGAGACATTTTAAAAGTTGTAACTGCGAATGAAAACATTGTCCTAAAAAAAGAGAATTGTAAGTAGTAAAAGTTATAATCCCTAAGCGCAACCGAAGGCCGCCTACGCATAAAGAAGTTCTGCCCCACTTCTCCGGCAATACATAATCCACGCAATTTTACAGTAGAGCTACGGTAATTTTACCGTGGATCTACGGTAAAAGTTACCGTGGCGCGTGTGTGTAGGCACTGCCCCTAAAAATATGCAATGCATACTCAATGTTGCTTTTTAATTCCAGTATACAGCTCTCAGGAAAAGCAAAATCTCTATACATATATAAGTTGCGTTCCCTAACTTACAAGTTTGCAAGAATTTTCAGAAATTTACCAGAAAGCGTTCCCGTACTCGGTTCTCTGGCTTCTTGCATTTTGACAGTTTTAGAGGTTTTAACCAGGTTGCCACTGAAAAACTTTCTTTCATACCAAGAACTGGTTCAAAAACCTAGCAAAATGGCTTCTTTCCTCCCATTTATTTTAATTAAGGAAACGGCGTTTGGAAGCATTAAATACATTTATTTTTTCTGGTAGACAAAAAGATCAGAACAATAGCATTCCCACGACAGCCGGTTCTACGTACCGGAATGACTCGGGTTTTACCCGACCAAGGGCTGTTGTTTCGGCGATCTAACCCCGTTTAGGTCGGCGAAGTATCTCAGAAGTTGTTCGTCCATAGGGCTACATTCGCTACGTTTTCTCCTACTCAGGGCTGGCATCGAGTCAAACCCAGGGCCAGAAACCTACACCTGCTGTGTATGCCAGAGACGACTACACCACAACTCCACCTCTGTCAAGTGCAATGCTTGCGAGGGGTGGAGTCACCTCAGAGTCTGCTCAGGACTACGGACACATCGGCAGTGGACCACGTCTTTTGTGGCCCCCTGTTGCTCTAACAGAGCAGCCTCCACGGCTAACCCCAGTCCACCTGAGCAGTCCCACACAAACACCACAGCACAACAACATAACACAATAGACCACACCACAACGGCTACAGACCACAGAACACACACAACCGCACCACCACCCACACGCCGCCGTCAACAACTCCTGGTTCTTCCTACAATCTGCACGGTATGTCAGTCCAGGATATCCCGTAATGTGACATCAGTCAAGTGCAACACCTGCCTCGGCTGGTGCCACTTTAGGGCGTGCTCAGGTCTGCGCACCACGCGATATTGGACGAGGAACTTCGAGGGCCCGTGTTGCGCTGCTCGGTCGCAGACCTCAACTGCGACGCCTCCCGCCACCACCACAGGGCGGCAACCACCTCAGCAGCGCACACAGCCAACTGCGGCACGACCACACACATCCCTCACACCCAGCACCACCACACGTCTCCCGAACCTCATGAAGCTCCTTCAATTTAACTGTAACGGGCTTCAGAGCCAGATCGAGGAGATAACCACCCACTCAACACTGTTGAATTGTGCCGGGTACAGCGTGCACCGTCGAGATCGCAAGCGGGATAATGGTGGTGGCTTAGCGTACATTACGCACCACACCGTGAACTATCGTCTTATCGAAGCAGACATAGACCGCAGGGATACCACCCTAGAATGTCAGGGCATTGCTATCCGGTCAGGCGATGTTGAGCTCGAAATATTTAACGTTTATATATCCCCTGTCACCTGCTGCCCGGCAGGATATCACTCTGACATAGGTGCGCTCCTCAGAGGTGAAAACCGTATGGTAGTAGGCGACTTTAATGCGCTCCACGATCTTTGGCACTCAAGCCTGCCAAACGAACGTAGGGGAACTGACTTGGCTGAGCATATAGACGATTCGACATTCTGCACAATGAACGACGACGCACCCACCAGGATTATGGGCAGCTGCTGCAGCTCGCCAGACATAACAATAGTCAGCGCTGGTCTGATAAACAGCATATCATGGCGACCTATGCTGACTTTGGCATCAGACCACCTGCCCATAGTCATCTCGATCGACAAACCAACCGACTTTGCTTCCGCGGAGCACCGAACATATATCAACTTCTAAAGCTGATTGGAAAGGCTTCGCGGAATTTACTGAAAACACCTTCGCTGCTCTCCCCACACCAACCGACGTCCACCTTGGTGAACGTAAGTTCCGCAGGGCTGTCAACGCTGCTGCAGCGCATGACAAGCCGATCCCGGAAATCCCCGTATCAGGGATCTCAACGCGGAGATTCGGCAACTAGTAAACGTACATAAGCGGAAGAAGTGGGAAGAGCCTCTGAAGAGCTGCAACTACACCTCTGGTGTGAGTAAGCTTTGGTCAACCGTGAGGTCTTTGTTCAATCCGACGAAGCACGACGACAGAGTCGAAATTTCCTTCGGCGACCATGCTTCGTCAGACCCGGAGCGATGCGCGAGCTACTTTAGCCGGCAGTTCATACTGCATCCTCCGGTGGACAAAGCCAAGCGTCGAGTGACCAGAAGGCTGCACAAACTGCCAACAACCTGTGCCCCCTTGCTTTCACTTGCGGTGAAGTTCAAATGGCCATCGGGAAGGCGAAAGCCTCCAAAGCCATGGGTCCCGACGGAATATGCATGCTGATGCTGAAAAATTTGGGTCCTACGGGGGTAGCGTACCTAACGGAGGTCCTCAATTTGTCCATGCCCACTCTCCTCATCCCAGACATCTGGAAGGTGGGGAGAGTGGTTCCACTGCTCAAACCGGGGAAGCCTGCCAACATAACTTAGAGAAAACTTAGAAAAATAAAGCAGGGGGTTCCACAGGGTGGTGTCCTTTCCCCACTACTGTTTAACTTTTACATTTCAAAGCTCCCTCAACCACCAGAGGGAGTCTCGATTGTCTCTTAAGCCGATGATTGCTCGATCATGGCGACTGGGAATGGAATTGATGACCTGTGTTCGAATGTAAACAGATATCTCTCTGAACTTTCTCGCTTCTTCACTGCAAAGTGTCTAGCCCTCTCCCCTACGAAATCCTCTGCGACCCTGTTCACAACCTGGACGAAGGAGGTCAGGCTACCGCTAGGAATTCACGTCGATGACACACCAATTCCGACGGTGAATAATCCTAAAATACTCGGAGTAACATTCGACAGCCTGCTCTCCTTCTCTGCGCACGCAACCGCTATTGTCAATAAAGTACAGAGCCGCAACAAGGTCCTCAAGTCGCTAGGCGGCAGTACTTGGGGCAAAGAAAAAGAAACGTTGCTTGCAACATATATGGCAATAGGCCGGCCGGTTTTAAACTACGCAGCACCAGTGTGGTCGCCGGGGAGTAGTAGGACGCAGTGGACGAAGCTACAGACGGTACAAAACACAGCACTTAGGACAGCGACCAGATGCCTCCTGATGTCACCAGAACACCACCTCCACGATGAGGCGAAAATGATCCCAATTAGGGAGCACAACACGATGCTCTGCAAGCAGTTTCTGGTTGGGAGCCACAGATGTGGCCACCCAAATAGACAGCTGCTTGCAGAGGAGCCTTCGCCGAGGCACGTCAGGAGGCATCTATATGAACTGACGGACGAAGTCCAGAGGTTCATTAAGCAGCCTCTGGACCCGTCAGCTCACAGACAGGCCCTGAACGGCATTCACAGGGATGCAGTCTCGAGTTATGTAGACTCAAGACCTGTGAATGCCGTTCTAGGCACACAAACACCGGACATTGACGCACCGGAGCTACATCTGCCTCGGGAGACCAGAACAACAATAGCCCAACTTCGCTCTGGCTACTGCAGCAGGCTGAACTCCTACCTGAGTAGGCTAAATGCGGATGTGCCGAACGAATGTCCGGCATGCGGAGAGACGTCCATGAAGCTAGCTGAACCAAGTCGCCATAAATCAATAAAAATTAGCTAGGAATTAAGTGTCTTTTAGGTGTTAATTGGGGCCTCCAACATTAATTTAGGTGTTCCTTTGGCTTCCGGGAAATTAGCAAAAATGTGTGTGTTTACGTAAATCTAGCTGACCCATCGTTAAATTTAGGTTTTAAATTTTCCAAATATATGCTGGAATTAGGTGTCTTTTAGGTGTTCTTCAACGCCACTAAGGTTTACGTAAAACCAGCTGACCCACACATTTTTGCTAATTTCTCGGAAACCAAAGGAACACCAAAATTAATTTTGGAGGNGTTTACGTAAAACCAGCTGACCCACACATTTTTGCTAATTTCTCGGAAACCAAAGGAACACCAAAATTAATTTTGGAGGCCATAATTAACACCTAATTCCTAGCTAATTTTTATTGATTTTTGGCGACTTGGGTCAGCTAGGTTTATGGACGTCTCTTTAGGTACCTTGCGAACGCCCTTCATATATATTTAGCCGTTTGATGTTTACGACATACATACAACTATACGAGTGTATAAAACACCTATAAGCTCGCTAATTATGTCTTGTTAAATGTAGACATTTTTCGAGCAAAATGATATCTTACATTATATGTACGTATGTATTATGTACATATATATTTATCCACTAAAGAGTGCACAAATTTGTTTGTTTTTCAAGAGAGGAAAGCAGCATACAAAAATGATCATTCATAAAATGGAGATAGATGATTGCTTTTACATTAAATAAACCATATTTTATATGTATCCATTCATTC